TAGAATAATTGTATGTGTTTTAAGTGGAAGCTCTTAAATTGATGTGTTATATTAAATAGATTTTTAAATAAATGTGTTGTATTTAACAGATTTTTTTTAAATAATATTGAACAGATGTTTTATATTTATAATATTTAATAGATGTTTTATATTTAGTAGATTCTTAAATGGATGTGTTATTTTTAACAGGTTCTTAAATGGATGTTTTATGTTTAATGGGTTTTTTAATGGATGTGTTATATTAAGCAGTTTTGTAAATGAATGTATTAAACCCTAAAATAGATTCTTTGAATGCACAGTTACAGTTATATATATATATATAAAGCCATATACAACCAAAAATTATAGTTACAAAATGAGTGTATTTAATTGATATATAAACACCCTAAATAAATCATTAATAAAGTCTTACTCCCTAGACCTCTTGAGTAAAAAATATACATGTTGTGATAGTGAAGCCACGAGAATTGTTGCTTTTGGAGGTAGAGAAAGAGTAGGCGATAGTAGTGTTATCGTTGATGTTAGGGATGTGGAGTAAGCAAGCACAAGTGGTGCTATCGTCGATGATGGAGATGGGGAACTAGTAGGGCACAAGGTCAAAGCTCTATATAAAGCTGTCGATGGTCGAAAAAATGGAATGTTGAGCCGCTGAGCAGCTTTAAACTGCTAAAATGATGGTCCAAGTGTTAATATTTAAGGCAATACAGCTAGTCTAGATTGACTACTACTAGCTTCAGTTGATGACTCAGACAATATGGCATATGCTCTAACAACTTCTCATCTCCATACATCAACTTCCTGATCTAATCCACCAAATATAGCATCCTGAAAAATAGACAATCTCATCAAGCTCAGTTACAAAATATTAACAAGATAATTAATAAAAAAAACATAATTAATATTACATTAACAATAACTGATCAAATTATGACTTACAATATCACTGAAAGGCATACTATTAACCAATATAGATTGAAAGTCAAATCTATGTTATGCATTCTTAATACACCAATGTGAATTTGATGCAGACCAAGTATTATAATCTAGTGAACACTTGTGCAATGCCCAACATCATAGCTATTGATGCTAAGCAAGCAAAATATTCATATCTTACCTCTCTCAATATTGGTTTAAAAAGTTGTATGCAACATTATACATATTGGAGGATGAACCTTGACTAGATGGAGATAAGGCCAAAGGAGTTGGTAGAATAGTTTGTACAAAATCAAATTATCGTAGAACCCTCTTCGAATGATGGCTCTACGATAGCTCTATACTTCATACACCCAAAAAAATAAACAATCTTAGGTAATGGGTGTTGGTATTGTTGTTTGACATAAAAGTCCTAATACACCTGATATGGAAGCAAGTAATCCAAATGCTCCCATAATCACTGTAATCAATCATCATACATGCAGGGCTTTCATTGTTAAGTACAAGGTTCAACATCAGAATATGTCAGATTAGCTACTAGACCTAATGTAAGAAAGTGCTTATAAATCCATGCCTACCTTAAATACACAAAGCATCATCATTCATATGTTTGTTTTTATCAAATAACCAGACATAATTTATTGACATAATCATTTAACTATTTTAATATACATACATGAAGAAACATAATATAACTAGCAATTAGATAAACATTATCTTTACTCACTATACCAAGTTACCTATATAAGTATGTCAGGTAAGCCACCCCAAGCATATTTATCAATAGTGTTGAAGTCGTTCAAAAAGGTTAAGTATGCTATTAATACTTTATCTTCACTCTTGTCAACAAATAACATACATCTTAGGAGATGAAGTAAAAAAAACATGCTAGCACATTGTACATCTCGATCAAAAATTATATTTGTAACTTCTTTAAATGTATCCTGCAACCATTATAGCTTAACAAATAGACCATGACAAACTTTGGTCTCATTGGTTACTTTAGCTTTTGACACTCTAGGCAACCACACTAACATCGCATTCACTTTATTAACCATCACATACTAAAATGATACCTTGGCCCTTTAAAAGATATATGCAGAATCTTATACACATCATCCAACGTTATAGTCATCTCGTCAAATGGTAGGTGACAGGTATTTGTCTCATACTACCACCTTTCAACAAATGCATACACTATCATATCATTGGACAAACGATAGTTGTAATCAATCAATGATTATAATTGCGACAACACAACGTTCACATGAGTAAACTACGAAGAAACATCTAGAAGCCGATGCTGTAACTTTATCCCATAGTAGATTGATTTCAACGTAACTAGCTTAGATAACGACAACATTAACAAATAGAAACTAGTTATTAACTTTACATACATTAAGTAATAAAAATAAATCATAAGCATTATTGTGATTGAATTTATTACTTGGTTATTCCATATATTTGTTGCAACATAAGTCTTAAAGCTTTTAAGGATAGAAATATCCATTAGTCCTTCAAGAAAATATTTCTCCGCATCATATCCACCCTTATCATCATGCTATTAGGTGGAAGGTATGTCTTCAAAAACCAATTATGAGGATTAACAACCAACTCATCTACATATTCTTGGATTCACCATGTTCTCTCAGAAGTAGTTAGATGCATCTAAGTGTTAGCTGCAGCACATCCCCATCTTTACCAAGTCACCTCTTCTCGTTCATGCCATATCTATTGTTACATAAAACAAATGGTCAATACCTTATCTCTCAAAGCAATTATGCAAATTAACTTGAATATTTAATGTGTTTCATATTGATAATGAATAACACATAAATATATATTCACATTGGTATTGAATTATAAACTTATTTCATTATTTTAAGCTTTCATAAATGCAAATATGGAAGCTTTAAAAACATTCAAATTTGCATATTTAGAAACCTTTAAAATTTTAAAATTTACAAATCCGAAAACTTTCAAAAATTCTAAAAATGCATTTTCGAAACCTTTTGAAAATTTTTGGATATATAAATTTGCAAGCTTTAAAATCTTCCAAAACTGCAAATCTAAAAGTTACTAATTTCAGTAGTAATGTTACCCAAATTTACAAAAAGAAACAAGTAAAATAAAACAATAAAAAAAATTACCTCTAAGTTAAAGCTCAATTACTTGATTAACTCTAAATCTTAGTGATTTTAGGAGATTTTTGTGTTAAAAATTGATAAGGAAAATTGATTTTAGGGTTTGAAATGGGTTTAAAGTGTGTTGAGTGTAAGGGAGGATGTTTATGAGAATTGTGGGTTTAGGATATGTTATGTAATAAGTAAAAATTTATTTTTTAAAATTTTTGAATTTAAGGTATATTTAATATTTAGGTGTATATAGTATTTATTTTGGTCTAAATAGAATTTCTTTTTGTTCTTTTTTGAGTTTTTTTTTCAATAAAATTTATGTTATATTAATATTATTTTAACTAAAAATAAATAATTACATAATTAATAAAAATATTAATTGATATGTTACTATCATTTTTATTAATTTTTAATTATTTATTAACAAAATTATTATTTGACATAAAAATAATTTTTTAATTATTTATTAATTTTATAAATACTAAATAATTAAAATTTTTTATTACATATAAAATTTAATATAATTTTTTTAATAGTAATTTTTTATTTTCACTATAATTTACTTATCATTATTTTTACTTTTGTATTTAAATGTATATTTTATCATTGATTTTAATATCACCACTACAATAATTAATCTTATCTTTATTGTTATTTTTAATATCATCGTCTATTCAAATAAACTAAAAAAAATGAATTTAGGGAAAATAACCAAATAGAAAATAGAATTTAGGCTTCAAAAAACAATTTTTTTTTTTTTTTTTGGTTTTGAAGACTTTAGACTTTGTAAGTAGTTTATTTGGCAGCTTACATGTCATGGCAATCACATTATTTTTATATCAATAATTTGGATAAAATTTGTTAGGCGACTATATTTAATATATTTAATAAATATTAATGATTTTAGTCAAACAAACTAAAATTCAATGTTTTGTTTGAAAATTGAATAATAATGTATTGATCCCGTATGAAATTTATCCCAAATTTTGTATACTTAATTACATATTTTTTTAATATAAATATTAAATTAAATTTTTTTAATACTTGAAGGCCGAGGAGAATAATCTTAAAAATTTTCTTGTTCTATCATCAACGTACCAAAATGCAAAAAATTTTACTAGTTAGAGAAATGCCTGACGATTAGATGGGTTGTGATTTTTCTTCTTTCAAATGCTAAGGCTATAGTCACGAATGAGTACCATTAGAATGGATGATAGTACAAGAAGTGGTATATGGACTAAAAAATGACATCTGGTATTTCAATTCCAGCCAGACTCACACTGTCATTTTGGTGATGATTTGATTTTGTACTCCAAATTTTTTGTTTAATGGGCTACCGATGTAATGCAACTAACAGACCATCTGGCCCAATCTCATTTTCTGTGTGGAAACTGCGAACTGCAAACTACAAAACTGACTGCGTAGCAAGACTCAACGAAAAGTTTGTAGGGTCATTTCCTGCCTTGCAACACAAAGTACCAAAAATTGAGCCACAGAATCACAATTCACAATACAATATCACAGCATGGTAATCCAAGCTATGCCTATGGTTATGGTCATGTTTATGGTTATGTGTCCAAGCCCGTTGCCCAGTCTAGATTTTTCTTTATTAAGGGATGCCCTGACAAACATAAATAAACCACTCCTATGAAATGCTGCAAAACCCCATGTCAATCTAAATGACAAAACTACCCTTGAAATTCTTTTTGGTCTCCTAGCCTTCTGCTTTTTGGAAGCTACCTGCCACCACCTCCCTTCATACCTCCTTCCATCAAAAAAGCAAAGCTTTCCCAATTCCTAGATATAAAAGAATTAATTGGAAACTCTCCAAGGTCTAAATGGGGTTCACTGGTACACACATTGGATCAACTTATTATATATGGGGTTCCAATAATGGCTGATTTTTCCAGTCCAGTTTCTGAGGTAGGTAAACTAAAACCTTGACTCAGTTAAAAGTGTTTGAAGAGTGTTTGCCTTGCGTTCTTGTTACACCAATCACTAGTACTTTTTTTTTATTACCAAGTCTTCTACCTAAGTAATTCTCATTGCTTGTATATCTTAATCAACGTTAGATTTTTTCCACGCATTTTTGGCTGAAATGAGCTGGGTTTGTTGTGGGTGCAAGAAATAACGTGCCCATTGCTTGTTCATTTTAGTTTATGAGCTGGGTTTAATTTAAAAGGAACCGAGAGAACATGGTTTCCTCTCCTGAGATTCCATATAGGTGACTAAAGTTTGTTTGATCCAAGAAGGTTGAAGGAACAGGTGTTTCTGGCATGCCCATTTCCTAAAATGCTTTGGATACAATCTCAAATGAAGCTAAAAGATGGTAGTTTGAGTTACCATCCTTACTCTCTACTTTCTTCTTATTCTTCTTCCTCCTCCCCTTCATTGCCATACGATAGTGGTTACCAAAAGCAACCAAACCCTCCATCATCATCATCATCATCAGCTAGTAAAATAAGCCCAGCTGTTTTGTTCATCATAGTTATTCTGGCTGTTATATTTTTCATATCTGGCCTTCTTCACTTGCTTGTCAGATTTCTCATGAAGCATAGGTCTCCCTCATCAGTATCTGAATCCAACAGATACCCAGAAATGTCAGGGTCTGATGCTTTCCAAAGACAGTTACAACAACTTTTCCATCTTCATGATTCAGGTCTAGATCAAGCTTTTATAGATGCTCTACCTGTGTTTCTTTATACGGAAATAATGGGGTTGAAAGAGCCATTTGATTGTGCAGTTTGTCTTTGTGAATTCTTGGAACAAGACAAATTGAGATTACTTCCTATGTGTAGTCATGCTTTTCACATAGACTGCATAGACACATGGTTGATGTCTAATTCTACCTGCCCTCTTTGTAGAGGAACCATTTTCTCACCTGGGCTTCCAATTGAAAATCCAGTTTTTGACTTTGAATATCCAAGGGAAGAAAATATGTTATCAGGCAATGGAGGAAGTGGGGTGTCGCGTGGTCCAAAACCAGCAGAGAATGACATTGGAAAGAGGGTGTTTTCTGTCAGATTAGGCAAATATAGAAGTTCAAATGATGGAATAGGAGAAGCAGAAGTAGGAGGAGAAGGAGAGACCAGTAGCAGTAATTTGGATGCGAGGAGATGTTACTCGATGGGGTCATACCAATATGTGGTTGCTGATTCAGACTTGCAAGTAGCTCTATGCCCCAGCAGAGGAGGCAACGATAGTGCTAGTATGAAGCTTGTGAAAGGAAGAGTTGGACAGAATGGGAATTCATCAAATGATACGGATGTAGAGGGAAAGAAAATTAACATGAGAAGTAAAGGTGAAAGCTTTTCTGTTTCCAAAATCTGGCAATGGTCTAAGAAAGGTAAATTCCCAAGTTCTTCAGATATTGGAGGCTCTTCCTCCGTTACTATTGGTTTGCCAAGGACTGATACTAGAACTCAGGTTACTTGAAGGTATTTACTGTTCCTTTGTACTTCATTATAGTGTTATATCATTCAATGAATCTACTTATTAAAAGCCTTTCCTTTCAAAGAAATTGATTCTTTGCTAGCGCAATGCAACTTATGTGAAAATATGCTTCGTTAATGTTCTTACTTGTATGGTTGTACAAACAAGTTCTTAATTTATGGCAAATGGCAATGTCCTTGGTATTTTTCAGTAAAATTCAATGAATCTATTTATTAAAGCCTTTCCTTTCAAAGAAATTGATTCTTTGCTAGCGCAATGCAACTTATGTGAAAATATGCTTCTTTAATGTTCTTACTTGTATGGTTGTACAAACAAGTTCTTAATTTATGGCAAATGGCAATGTCCTCCGTATTTTCAGTAAAATTCACTGAATCTATTTATTAAAGCCTTTCCTTTCAAAGAAATTGATTCTTTGCTAGTGCAATGCAACTTATGTGCAAATATGCTTCTTTAATGTTCTTACTTGTATGGTTGTACAAACAAGTTCCTAGTTTATGGCAAATGGCAATGTCCTTGGTATTTTCAGTAAAATTCCATAAAGTGCCTAATCTTGAAGCCTTTGTTTTCATCCTGTGAACTGCACATATTGAAATGTTGATAAAGTGATTTCTACTTTTTACTCTAGCTCTCGATCACTCTCTGTCAACGATATAGACCAAAAAAGATTATAAAACTGAAAAAGAAAGATGGGAATCACTGTGAGGTCAAATCATGAACTGCTTTCTATGAGCATCTCTAGGGCCTTTTTTGTTTTGTATGACGAGGGCGGTGGGATCCCAAAAAAAGTGCTTTGAGGAACTCTTGTGTGTAGCCATTATTTGAAAAGCTGACATCAGACATGTCAGTGGATTGTGGGGTCATAAGAGTATTATCTCAATTAATAAAGTCCCAATCCCAAGCTTAATACATAGTAATTAAATTTCATTGAGTAAAATGTTCATTTAAAGCACCACCTAGTATGCAGGTGGCAGGGTTGCTGTGATACTTTCACACAAAAAGGGGAAATCATGCAGTTGGAAAAGAAGTATGTTTACCCCCCATATACCACCAAGGAACAGACTTGCCGATGATTAGAGAAGTAGAAGATAAAACTGCTTGAGTCAAATTATTGTTTTGTTCCAATAAATCATTAGATAGCCAATGGAGAACTGGCACATGACATGGAGTGCAGGAGCAGGAGTAAGATGCCAGCACGTGAGCCAAAAGTCAAATAAAGGGGATGTCATGAACAATGCATGACTGGCAGGCAGACATGAAGGATTTGGTAAGCTAAGACATCACAATAGTAACTCCATATGAACGAGAGAGAGAGAGAGAGAGAGAGAGAGAGATAAGCACAAAAGTCAAATCATAGCACGCTCAAGGTCAAGGGTTAGAGGGAGAAACCGATAGCAAGCAAGGATTATGGAGTTTTGTGTTGAATTTATTTAGTATTAAATATGTATAAAATATATAAATTATTGTATTATAATTTTTATAAATACATTAATTATAAAACATATTTTTTTATTAAATTCATATATAATATTTATCAAAATCTTAAATTACATTTTCTATTATTTTTATATTATGGAATCATATTTGAAATTATTATATCTAAATTCAAACTTTAATGAAAGAATGTAAATTCAAACTTTAATGAGAGAAAATTCAAACTTTAATGAAAGAATGTAAATTCAAACTTTAATGAGAGAATGCAAGGCTTATTATGTCGGTTATTAATAAAATGGATTTTAAATTAGTACTAGAAAAATTGATATCTTTTTAGCTCTACTTAGTATTTTGGACTTGAATTGAAGTTAAAGTTAGTGCATTTGCTTCTCCGGCGCGTGTTTTCCGGGAGATAAAAACGTCCCATGTGCAATTAAAAGAACAATTACAACAGTGCTTTAATTTGCTTCAAAATGCTCACTGCAATCTTCCCTTCCAAATTAAAATAGGAAACTAAATTCTACCTAAGCTCATAGTAATCACCCGACTCTAAGAAATTCAAACGCTAAAAGTGATGTAAATGGCCAAAAATTTAAAAAAAAAAAAAAGTTAGTTCTGCAGCTGTTACATTTTAAAAATTTATTAGAAATAATTTAGATTTACCAAAAAAACAATCAGGCAATACATCGCTAGAAGTAGAGAGAAAAATATTATCCTAACAATTCAAACTTGATGTAACAAACATTATCCCTCCCAAGATTTTGAGTTATGTCAATGACTTGGAACAAGAATAGAACAATACACATTAGAATATACTCATCAACCAGGCAGTGAGTTCATAAATCCGGTGCTTAAATTGCAACAACAGCATACTTTGTATTCCAAAAATATAACAATTTTCTCTTTTGTGGCTAAGGCAAAAATTCAATTCCCACGATTCCATACAGAAAGGGTTTATAATAATTTACATAAAATCACCTAAGGGGAGAAAATTTTTGAAGAATAGTGTGACTAACCCCATTTAACACAACACAAACCCCAACCAAAAATCTCATGCTATTCACTACACACTATACTCGCCCATCACTACAAATTGTGAGAAGGAAGAAGTTTCTCAGAGATAAAAAGAGGAAAAGGTGGTACATGAACATCTTCAACATCTCTGTGGATCAATCAACCTCATAAATCGCGAGGGAAATTGTTGATTTGTCCTTCTTCCAAAACATCTTTATTGTTCATCTTGTAAGCTATCCTTATGCGCATCACCAACGATTTCTGAAAGTAAACCTCTGTTAAAGACCCTTGAAAGATGGGTAGCAGCAATGAAATGATTGACTAACCTAAAACTAAATAAATAAATTACATAGTGGCATACCACATTAAGAATTTCTTTCCAAACAAAGGTAGCAGGGTTAAATTAATTGTTACAGGTTACTGGTGAAATCGACCTCTGGTATCAGTTTTTATTGGATATTAGCAACCATGTCATTACAAGGTATTAGAATCTTTTCTTTTGCTTTCTTTCTTTCAATTTTTGAAGAACTCCCAGCACTAAACGGTGCTTTTCTTTTGCTTTCTTTCTTTCTTTCACTACAATTTTGCTATAGCTACCTCAAGGCTCCTGACATAAAATAACATTTTAGAATTTATCAGCAGGTCTTTCCTAGGTTCTTGATTTCCGCTTTTTAGGGAAAAAAGTAAAACCTAAAATCTAGGGAAATAAATTGTGATCACCCCCGAGCCTAAACCACCCTTGTCTTCTCCATAAAAGAGAAAAAAATGCACATACATTTCAACTCTTGGCTATAATGGAACTACATACAAGCATCATATAACCGAACACATGATAAATCTAAAGACAAATACTTGTAAAAGTTAAATAGTGATAAAGAAATGAAATAAAGAAGCCCAAAGCATTAATAAAAAGTAATATGAAAACAGGCTTAGTCAAAGTAACACTTGATTCTACCAAGTGCTTAAACCCCTATGATCAAAAGTTAAAAGAAAAAAAGCTTTTAAATGATGAAAAACAAAATACCATCACAAAAAGCTGTAAGTGAAGGATGGCTGTCACAATTTGCCAGTTAGGACAGAGAGCACCACTAACAGTTTGGTAGAGCAACTTTAACAGACTAAAACAACTAGATAAGTGAGATAATTTACTAAAGCTTTCTCTTGCTAAGCCGTGAGAGTCAGAATGAGTAACATAAAGATTAATAAAACTCAGTACACATACCTTCCCTTGTTGGCTATTAGTGACTTTCAAATTTTGTGTGATGGACCCATTACCGCTTGCAGGCAAAGTATTGCTGCTAGCAGGATCCAAGTGCAGCTGAAGAAACTGCAGAGTTTAAATGCAGCAACTGCATCAGCATCGCACATAATTAAAGGAGAAGTATGCAAAATTCTAAATAATAAGATTTGCAAACTTCAATGGTTATTTTTAACGAACATTAACAATAATCTAAATTTTGTGAAATTAATGAAGCCTACAAAAAAAGCCTAAATAAAAGAAGTATTCTTGAGGCATGTAGAGAAACACTAGTAAGGACAGCCTTTAAGTTGCAAATTGCAAAGTTCTTTGATTTTCAGATAAATCCATGATAGATAAAGCAACAGAGAGAAAACTGATAATGCAAAATCCACCTCTAACAAATGGCACCAAAACCCACTTATAAATTTCTATACCATAAGTACAGCGAACTCAGTAAATGACCATCTTTAGTTACCTTTGGAACTGCTGCCTGGAAAAGAAAATCATTATAGACATTAGGTGACAGATTTGTAAAAGTAGCCTGGATCAACGTCATTTGTGGGTTTCCTGGTTGCTTTGAGAAGTTGAATGTCATCCTTAAGGAGCTGCTCTCATATGCAACTAAAGATGGATAAGCTGGACCATTTTCCTCTGCGCACAGAAAAGACGACTATAACTACTTTGGCAACTACAAGGCTACAACATCTGCCAAACAGAGTTCCAAACTTTAAAACTTACCATGCTTTTGAGGAATGGGGCCAAGCCCATCCAATAAATCCATCATTGGAACAGGACTTGCAGGAGAAGTGGCATTTGCAGGAAGTGAGGAAAGCGATGCAAGGCCATTTAAATTGGCAAGTGGTGCTTTGTTGTCTTGACTGGAGGATAATATGTCAGATGCAGATGAGCTGCTTTGTGCAGGAGGTGATGTTCCAATTGACAAAAGATCCAGCAGAACATCTGTGCCAGCTTTTGGAGGCTGACTTGTGCCTAAAAAGTCAGAATAAAATCAGACCTTTTTAATCAACAGGAAAGAAGCGATCAGCACTGAAAATAATTCACTTAACTGTGATCACATTTAACATTTTTATGCCTGTGCAATACAAAGTTCTCTTTGGACAAAGATGGCCATAAAGCAACGACAAGGAAATAACTTATTTTCTTTTGACATTGTTACACTCTCAAGAATGTCAACTTATGTAATTATGCAATGCAACCATCATCACAACCATTATACATCCAAAACCAATTTGGAATTCATAATTATAAATATAGAAAATCAAATAAATAGCTATTTTGTAATGTTCTTCTATAGAACAATCCAAAATTTTGGCTTGTTACCACTAATTTAAATAAAGAGTTGTTTGCCTGAACAGTTGTCCCATATCATTATCAGATGTAGATGATCAATCCTCAACAAGTAAAAGATAAGTAAAAGGATAAATGGACTAAATATTGGGCTCTTGAACAGACTTATTACTCTGAAAACGCTAATTTCAGCACTAATGCTGCAAAATCCTAAGAATCTTGAACAATAAGGTAATTCAATTGATGCAGAACACATATAATCTAATTGTGGGATTAGTTCACTTAGGCTTCGTTTGGTCAGTGCTTTTGCTTTTTGCTATTTGTTTCTT